CGTCAAAACGCACGTTATTTTTCCTGACACGATTTCCAACTCTTCGCATTAAAAAAAATCACAAAAAAACTGTGCAAAGATTTTATTAACAAAAAATCGAATTTCACTTGTAAAAATGGGTCAATCAATGTTCTAGAATTAAGAAAATAATACTCGGTGATTTCGCTTTTGTATACAATGGGGGATTAGCACGCACGGCCAGTTAAGGTAGTTTTTCTCTAACCCAATTGAAATTCAATGCAACAATCATATTTTGGTACAAAATATGTGGTATTTTCTTAGAAAATAAGAGTTATTGGGCTCATGTAAAATAAATTAATATAAATTCTAGGAAAACAATTATCTTTCGCGAATCCAACGGCCTTTAGATCGCCTCAACATCCGAGGCGGTTTTGGCGAGTTTTGCGGTACTATTCGCCTCTTGGGCCTCCTAAAAGTCCTTCGATTTGGCGGCTTAATAATGATTTTTTTCACACTGTAGTTCTCACAACTGTCCAATTTTTTCACGTATACATACGGTTGAAGGATAGTATCCCTAACTTCACCACTATTTCCTACTCGATTTTCAACGTCCTGATCACATTTGTTTTCTCGATTGTCGAGGTCTGTATCACCGGTTGGCTCAATAATACTGTCACTGTTCTCGTCTTCTTCCGATTCGACATTCACACCGTTTACCGTGGGACTGTTGCCCTCCTTTATTACTTTTCGCTTTTTTACTTTGTTGGGCCACCCAGTGAGGTTTTTCTTTCGTTTGCCGGGCTTCCGTCCAGGGGCTCCATTCAGGAACGTTTTGCAATTCACGTCCGTTTCCTTCTTCGACTCTTCACACATGTTCAGTATGTCAGTCAGTCCAGGTGGAGAGTCCAAAAAACTAACATCTGGATCGGTAGTAGGCTCAAATTCCTGGTCAAAATCTGATCCAACGGTTAATTCTTCATCGAGTTTGGCCGCCAATGCTACATAATCCAGCTTCTTTTTCCTCTGCTTTTGCGGAGTGGTTGGTTTGGTTTCTAGTGGCTTTGGTGGCTCGACAGTCACTTGCGGTGAAGATTCTTCAGGGATTGTCTGCAGGGATTCGTCGTTGGCAGTTTTCATGCGCCGATTCCTCTGGTGCATCAAGCTGCTTAGAATGGCCAAAGTCGAAGCATGCTGCCGCGGCGATTTTCTGGCATTTCGGCCCCTTACAGAGTTTGGCGATAGGGGGGTTTTTTCAGACTTTTTTTTCACTCTGGATCTCCTAACGTTCGACGTGATTTCTTTGATTTCCTCCGTCGTAGCCGCCGATGTTGAAGATGCCTCGCTCAGCTTGCTATCTTCGTCATTTTCCTCCGCTATTGGCTGCTTGCTGGCTTCGCCGCTTGCAGAGTTTTCACCTGTAATATCACACACCTCGGCATCGCTGCCCGAACTCGCTGCCACCGAATTTGGCTCAGCAAACGCTTTGCACTCTTTCAACTTCTTGTAGGCGCTGTAACACGTTCGAGGGTCTATTGCTTTTAGGTGGGGAATTTGACGGGGAAGAACGAAATCGTCCCAATAATCTGCAAAGAAGTATACGCTTATTAACAGCTGAACTAGTAGAGATCGACAAGTCAACTCTTACAGTTATGGCTAAAGTGATATCGCTGCTCCACCCGATCTTGTCGCCGGAATGTATGGTACCACTTTTCAGTCAGCGGCACTTTTTCGAATGCGAACGTGAACTCGTTCATGTTCAACAGCATTCTTTCGCGTTTCGGCTTTTTCTCCTCCTTGTCCGCGATCGGCTCGGGTTTGGCTTCAATTTTCGCAAAATCCCCGTTGGTCTTTGTGCGGACCGGAGACAAATAGGAACCGTGATACCGTAATCTGTAAGAACTGAAAAGAGTGAAGAATCGGCATTTAATCGCTAGGAATATAACAGGACCTCGGACTTTCTGAGCGGAGCCTTTGTGTTAAACGTAAAAAAAAACGTGTTGGGTTTCTATCAACAGTGGTTAACTAACTAAATAAAGGTCGTGTTACATGTAAAAAAATGTGAGCAAAAACGTGAAACACAGCCAATCAATTCTACATAACCAACCTTGAGCCGGGGGTTTCAAATTTGTAGTATTTCTGATTGTCCATGATGAACGCTTCGGCGTGGCTTCTCCGCTTCGTGCGTCTCTTACCATCCGAAGAAGTGCTGTCCATTGAAGCCTCATCTTCCACTTTGAACTTATCCGGCGGTTTCACGTCGTCAATTTCACTTGATGGAATATCTAAGAGCAAGAGCACAAACTTCTAAAAACTG